GTTGAGAGTTCAACCATGGGTAGCTGCTGATGTTTCTCTCCTAGAGCAGACACACACACACACAAATGCTCTGAACTCTGTGTGACATCAGGAAGGGCATCCGGCCAGTAAATGATCAGCTCCATCCAGTCACCCCAACTGAATCCTGAATTATGGGATTATGGGCTTGTAAATAGGGAGTTTAATATATTATTTATATCACAACAAGATTATACATAATATGTTTCCTTTGGTTTCACTTTACACTTTGGGGTTATCACCCTATAATACAAGAATAATATAATGAGGAAATGTATCAATAAAACAAGCTTGCACTTTCCTATACAAAAGATTGAAACTCACTAATTAAAATGACAACAAGCCAACATAATTATGCCAAGGTAATCACAATACAAGGGAATTTGTTCAAGTATGATAAAAATGGAATGTAGGTCTCCATCAGCTGAGGCTGTATTTCATTTCTAGATTTTCTAGTTTTGTGTTTATTTGGTCTTAACCACAAGGAGTTGCTCTTAAGGTTTGTAGGAAGAAAAGACAGGGAAGTGCCTTCAGAGAACAGGTTTTGTAGAACTGGAGAAATTGAGCAATTAAGGACACAGTGGTCCATTGAGCAATTAGTCTCTATCATAGACTGTGCTGGACAAGAGGCAAGTTTTAACAGTTATCTGTTATCTGATAACTCAAGTGAAGGATTAGCCATTGGTCAGAACCTTTAGTTTTAGTTTAGGAAAGTTCTGGTTGGTCATTTTTTTCCTAATATTTTTGGTTCCTGTATTTCTTGCAACATTGCTAAAGAGAGAAGACTCCTCTAATCAGTTAAAAATGTCCATTCTATTGCTCTAGCAAAATAGCAGCAGCAGCTCAAGAGAATCAAATACTTCAAATTTGTATGGTATCAGGATAAAATTACATGGGCCTTTTTAAATAGGTTTAATATGTCCTCATTTCTGTCTTAATTTTGTGATAGCATGAAGGGGAAAAAATGGATACTTGTCAACCCCATCCTAGATGAATATTTACTCTGGCCGAGGCATGACTTTAGATCAGGGGTCTCCAACCTTGGCAACTTTAAGACTTGTGGACTTCAACTCCCAGAATTCCTCAGCCAGCTTCCGGTAGTTATGGAAATTGGTTGTAGAGGGGTTCAGATTATGGGAAAATAGCTGCTTTTTTTAAATAATGAAATTTATGGAAGAAGATGTAAGACTCCTGACAGACCACACAAGGTTTGCTGGCTGAGGAACTCTGAGAATTGAAATCCACAAGTCTTAAAGTTGCCAAGGTTGGAGACCTCTGCTTTAGATCATATAGAGGGGCAAGTGTCTTTGAATCCAAGCTAATAAAGACAGAGATTGTAGAGCAGTGTTTCTCAACCTTGGTAGCTTGAAGATGGGTGGACTTCAAGTCCCAGAATCCCCCAGCCAGCGCTGCTGGCTCGGGGATTCTGGGACTTGAAGTCCACCCATCTTCAAGCTTCCAAGATTGAGAAACACTGCCGTAGATTGAAGCTGAAAAAAAATATCTGAGGTTAGCAGCCTCTCAATTTATTACAATCCAGAGAAAGAGAAAAGTTGAAGAATAACTGAGGCAGAAAGAATTCTTGAGAAAGTACTACCTCTGAAAAGACAGGTAACATGACTATAGTCTTCAGTCTGATCTTTGGTTTATTGCGCTGTGCTGAAGTTTTTGTTTAACACTCCTCTGTACAGTTATTTTAGCATTCATCTGTATCCTTAGATTGTGCATAGGGGAATAACTTCTCCTTAAAATCCAATCTGAAGCTTGCTCCAGCATCTATAGATCCTGGCAGAAACTCATTTGTAGCATGTGAGTGGCCTCGTGTGGTCTGTCGGGAGTCTTACATCTTCTTCCATAAATTTCATTATTAAAAAAAAAGCAGCTATTTTCCCATAATCTGAACCCCTCTAGAACCAATTTCCATAACTACTGTACTAAATGTTTGCGTTTCAGATTTCAGATTTTTTTTTTCTTAAAGAAGAGCTTATTTTGCCTTTGGTGAAAATCGTCTATTTGACAAAAAAGGCAGAAGGGCTGAAACCTCTAGATACATGCATATAAGCTATATGGGCAGCAAGTTGCATCACATTGATCTTTTGAATATCAAAAAGGCTAGGACAGCTTATGACAGCCCTATATCTCTCAAGGTTAGAGGGAAGATTCCAGTGAGGCATCAAAGCAAGGCATAGAAGATAAGAGATGACAGCCAGAATTATCCAGCTGCTTTATCAAAAGCAGAAGGCAGGTCAGGTTATGAAAATCTAAAGGACTTTGTGAGAAATGGAATCAGACCTCCAAGCATTTATTTCTCAAACTCAGCTGCTCTGTACACAGATATCTTATTAAACAAACGTTAACCTGGATGTCAGACAATGATTTGCAGCCTATGCGACATGCTGCCTGTGCAGGTGCAAGATGCTCCGGCCACTTACAACTATGAGAAAATGGAGATCAGCATGCTAGCTACTTTTACAGAATGCCTTCAAAGCCATAATTGTGAGAAATTGTGTGACACTATGTATATTTCCTGACCTCCCCCCTTTTTTTTTGTAGTGAGAAAAAGAGAAATGTGAAAGACCACAGGAAGGAGGGGAAAATATTATTTGATTTCTCTGTAAAATTTCCCGACACAAATATTCAAACCATGTGGCTCTATTATTAACCACAATCTGAACTAAATTAAGGGTTTCCAAAGAACTAGGGATGTTGCAGTTGAAAATGCCCCTAAATTTAAGATTTGTTCCCCACAAAATGATCAGTTTAGACTGAAGCTGTTTGCCTCCTTTATGATTCTTAGCACATTACACGTTCCTATTTTCAAGGTAAATTATCTGGGAAGCTACTGTATGTTGTTGCCAGTTTAAGTTCAGAAGGGGAAGAAGTGATGATGGAAACCACAGTAATTGACCTCACAGAACTTCCTTACTCAAGAATTCAGTCCTACCCCTAGACAGAAACTTGATCATATCTGCCCTTTCCACATTTAGGGACTTTGTGAACCATAGTCTTGAATCAACACTTAGGTTTTGATGCCTAAGATGTCTTGGAATGTGACAGAAAAAAGTGGCTAATTGAATAACAGGAATACTGTTTATGCAACCAGGGTCCTTGAGAATTACCACCAGTCTACAGATGAATGCTGGCCAAGTCCTGGGGTCAATTCTGAAAGAGTTTTCAAAAAAAGAAACAAATTCCTTTGCAAATAATTGCAATTGCCCACATTGAGTTGTGCGTCAATAAGTCTTACTCTTGGATTTCAACTTCAACCATGATTTTCATTAAAACCCCTTTGTTGCATTTCAATGTTGACTTGATTATTCTTTTGCCTAATCAATCTATGTGTTGATTTCACCTGTCTGATTCATCTCCCTTTCTCATCCTTTATGTGCCTGGGAGACAGAACAACAGAATAACAGAAATCATTGAATGATAATTTATGCTTACAGAAAGCAGGCCAACAGGTAGTGAATACCTACCAAATTAGGATACTTGGGGAGATTAGTACAATAAATTATTAATAATGTCAGGGTGAAACATGACAGATGGTTTTAAGGAAACGGATTGATTTTAATTATTAATAGTGTGCTCATATACTTAACCATTTGTACTTTGTGGATAAGCATTAAGAACTAACAACTACAATTACTATTACATTTCCTACTGCAATATTTAGTCTTCTATTATTACCATCCTATACAGAAACAAAGAAGAAGGGATTATATCATAGAGAATAATATATAGCTTTTTCCCTGGCTGACACAATCATTCTAAATTTTACTGATCATCATTGACCAAACATAATCATAACATGCTTCTATTTACTAGATTTTTAAGGACCAGGCAGTATGTTTAAAAATGTAAGCAATATTAACTCAAATAAAACATTAATTACACATTGATCAAGAAGGGCACTGGAGAGCTAACAGCCGGGTTTGGGACCCGACCGCAGTGCAACGGGATGAGTTCCCATTACTTGCCTCAGCTTCTGCCCACCTAACAGTTTGAAAGCATGTAAAATGCAAATAGATAAATAGGTACCACTTTGGTGGGAAGGTAACAGCATTGTGTGTGCCTTTGGGCTGTAGCCATGCTGGCCATATGACCATCAAAATTGTCTTAGACCATCTGGCTCCCTTGGCCAAGAAATGGAGATGAGCACCATGCCCCAGTCAACATGAGTGACAGGGAAAATTTTACTTTTACCTTTTTACAAATTGATCATCTGTAAAGTTATCAAATTAGCTTTTCTCCTGAATTTAGAAATTCCCATTCTATTTAAGTACTGTGCTATTTAAGCACTCAACACAATTCTCATCAAGCAAAATATTAAGTGTGTTCTCCTAGAGATTAAAGTAGGACTCAGTGTTAGACTGCTCACTATTAACTATAATGAAAGGTATGCTTCTGATTCCCATTTGATATTTAAGATTGTTCTTCCTTCTGAACATTATTTTAAATTGGATTAGGAAGATTACCACCATTCATTTAAAGTAGTTGCAATTTCAAAATCAAAAGCCAACAGTTGTGCAGTCAAAATTCATGTTGTAAATCTCCAGAAAGAAGGAAAAATCTATTAAGTTTTATAGTTGTATATTCTTTAGTGCATGGTCTTTTTTGGTTAATATAAAGTGATACACATAGTATGGACTTCCTTGTGTTCTTGTTATACACATATGTATATGAAGTTGTATTAATATATTTTGATAATGAAGTAACCCATCTATATTAAAGATGTTGAAGTTATACCATCCAATATGGGAGAGTGGGAGAACAAATTAGCTTTTCCAAATATATTTAGGATATGTAGGTTTTTACAGATTAGCATGCCTGGTTAGGATACAGTACTGCACTTTGAAACAATAATGGGAATAAAAGTATTTATTCCTATAATATAATTAAAAAAGAGCATTTAAAGATAACAATGAGGCAAAAGTACTTTAAGAGATGCAAATGTAGAGGAAGAAAGATGCTGGAGTACAAAAGTATGGCCAAAATGCTGTAATTTTAACTAGTGCAGTCAATTGGGTATTATTATACATTAGCTGTTGCCAAAAAGGTTCAGTCTCAAATCATAGATGATACATGCATTTGAAGGATATTAAGAACAAGCGTTAAGTAATAAAATACTGCTGAATTAAAAGTACAAGAGTCCCATCTGGTCAATACGTAGGTCCTATAAGGCTAGTTTTCAAGATATTGTTATAAAGAAATCACTAACAAATTGAATTTTACAAGTATGTTGAAGGAAGGACACATGGCTGAATCCTTCTGCTACCTGGCACTTTCAAAATCTTGTTTTAATCTTTCTATTTAAACTTACTAGCTCCTATTTCATTTCCAGAGAACTTGTTCAAACATGAGTATTATCTATAAAATTGTAGTAACTGCATTCAAGATTTACTTTGAAGGATATACAAGGACAGTGACCCATTTGCAAGAATATAGGCATAATAAGAATCACTGGGATTATCCATGTTTTAAATGCCATTTAATCACAGTTCAAATGAATTCCCATATACTAGACTAAAATGGAAATGTACTGCTGATAAAGCATGCCTTGCAATGTGTAAACGAGTTATTGTGAATTATTCCTGGACAATTCAATTCAATATTGAGAGCAAAGCAGATGGTATATTTGTTAACACTGTATCTTTAAGTGAATAATGTCTCATTCACCTAAAAGGCCCAGAGAGCAAACACAAAACTCCAGATTAGGGGCTGTGATGATGTGCAAATGAATTTCCAAATTAGAATAAGGCTATAGAACGAAAATATACATTTAATATCAACTATGGTGTATGTATATGAGGTATGTGGGCTAAAAAGCTATTTACAAAAGCCAAGAATCTGCCTAAATAACAGGAATCAGCCATTTGCAATATGTTCCAGAATTTGAGGTCAACAATATGAGGGGGCTCCAAAGCCATGTTAATTATACGATTCCATTTTCCCTAAATAGGGCCTTAGGAAGAGGTACAAAGGTAATGGTAGCAGTCACAGCCATTCCACATAAAAAAGAAGTGGGATTCGATCATATGGTTGTGGCTGTAACCTTGACTTTTTTGACCTCACCTGCAGACATCCGTGAATGTGGATCTGGCTGTGCTCACCACCTGTGAAATGAAGATACTGTTGCTGCAGGCATAAAAATTTTGTTTTGAAATACAAAAACGTTTCAAGAAGAGGAGCACATCTTTATACCTGGTGTACATTTTATTTTTGCTGTATGTTTTAACACTTATTAAAATTCTTTTAATCATTTAATCCGTCTTTTGCGATAACTCCAAAACAAATGGGGGAAGTCAACCTGTACGTCAAAAGTAATTTGACACTCACAACCAAAAGCTGTGAAAGCCCAGCTGTCTCTTTAATATGCAGACATTTTCCCCCTATCATTTTTTTTTTGGCAAATCATGCAGTCATTCTTGACTGATACATCACATAAAAAGTCTGTTCCCTTTAAAACCTGGAAATCAGGAAAACAAAAATCCCGCCATGGTACAATTAAAATAAAATTGGTTCAGATAATCTTCACAATGGAAATATTTTTGAAGAAAAAAGGAAAAGCTTCTTGTCCATTTATTCATCTTTTGTATGTCTGGACTGTATGTCTGGAGTGAGATGGCAGATTTCAAGAAGTTTAGAAAAACAGTAGCTATGAATATCTCCTCTAATAAGATCATTTCTATGCATGGATATGATCCATCAGCTTTCTTAAGACAAGCCCCATTGAATTCAATGGGAAACACTGTTGCACAACTTCCATTAAATATAAAATACTGAGAACAAATTTCAGACAGACTGGGATCCTAATCATCATTAAGACACAGCTTTCCAAGAAACTGATTTGCAGTGTTACATTGTTTTGGCAAAGTTACAAATCTTCTTAAGTTTACTTTGGATAACTTAGGAGGCACTAATATCTGGACTCAAAATCTGTTAAGGCATATACCAAAACCAAACCTGTAACTATTCTCACCCTAATCTTCAGATAATAAATCTTAAATGGGATGAGGAATACCACTTTAAAAATCTGTGTTGCATTTTGATCTCTGGCATAAAGCAATGTAGCGATGACAATTCAAAGTTGTCTTGGCAGTCAAAGTTCTCCTTCAAATTCCAACAAAAAATATAATTTACCTATACTATAGCTACATATGTCATGTTTAAATTCTTTATTATGGAAATTATACAGAAAAATACAGAGGTCTGTAGGGGGTCAAGATGATGGCCTCAGTTGAGGTTGTCACTTCATAGTATTTGATTCTCCCCACTTCTGATGCTTCCAAAATTCTTTCAAGGATCCATAATAAAGAACAATTCCATATCCTACAGCATATTTAACCTCTTCTGTTCTTTCTTTCCTTCAACCCATTTAAAAAATAGAAGAAAAAAGAAGAAGAAAAAAATGCACTTAAAGTGGAAAGGTTTGTTTATTCCCTTTTAAAGAGAAGAGATATTGTCATACACCAGGTATGGGACTTAGTTGCCACTTCCATTCAAGACAAAAATATTTGGTAGGCCTGGGCTCAGAACTTTTCTGACCTCACACAATCACAAGCCCAGCACCTTTCTGCTCCTTCATACTCAAGTAAAGCTGAAGAAAAATTTCACCTGCTTTGTCTCATTAACATTAATGCATGGATTTCTTCAGACTGTCATGATTTTTTTTGCAGGCCCACAAAGAAGCCTGAAAAATGGCAGCTTCTTTAACAAATAGCAGGTACTGGGCTCCTTCTAACAAGAGGCTCAAAGCACTTTTTCTGAATTATTTTCAAACAGTGCTTTCACGTGCAGTCCTCATTGAAGATCTGGTGAATTGGCTTTGAGATCCTGGGCATCAGATACGAAGTCACTTTCACAAGGTCAGTTGTGATGAAAAAGATGAACCAAGGCTACTAGCTACTTTCTGGCCATTTTGGTATGCCATCACTTCTTCCTGGTCTCCATTCAGAACTGACAGGAAAGCTTTGTAAACTGAATGAGGGGTTTGCCATTTCAAATGCTACACCGAGATTCAGATGATGACAGTCTTCCTAGCTATTACAAAGATCCTGTAAAATTGGTAATGCCATTAAAAAATCCCTAATCCTGTAAGAAAGATTTATGTGTCATTTTCCCCCTATAGTGCCAATTTTACAATTAATTTTGACATTCCAACATAAAATATTTATAAAGGTATCAGCTGCAACATTGTCACATTTTTAAAAAATGCATTTTTTTCAAATGTTAGTTTGAACTAAAATTTGAAATATGACTTAAGTGAGGAAGTGACAGCTGAGCCGTTGGTTTTTTGTGGGGTAACAGATGATAGCTGTTGCAAAAATGAATTCCTATGAACCCCCTGGTAGCATGAAGCAATTCTATGTTTAAAATTCCCATTGGGTGTTGGAAATACAAAAAAAACCCACCAAAAACTCTCAAATGGAATACATGTTGACATGCGCGCCCTATATTTAAAGCGATTTTTCATGATCATGTTCTTGCACCTTGTTCCTATGATCCCTTCTTGTGAATAGCTTCAACATATGCTCCCATCGCTTAACTAATTGCAGAGTTGCCAGCTCAATGGCTCTTGATAGCTATGCCTTCAATATTAAGTGGCCACAGAGACTCTTCACTGTGGTAAAAACAAAAATACCCCCCCCCATTTTTACCATGAAAAGATTGGAGATGCAAACTAACCTTTCCATTTGCCAAAGAACAATGTAGTCCAACAAGGAAGAGCTTAAATTCCTCTGTGTGTATGCATGTGCACGTGAGTATCCATTCCAATTTTAACTCAGGGCAGTGCAAATGATTTTTTTATACTGCATGACGCTAGTACCACTCTGAACTATAATAACTGTTTGTAGATTTTAAAAAAAAAAATCCTAGTCAGAAATAAACTGACAAAATGTACATTCTTCTCTGTTAAAAAAGTAAATAAAATAACATTATTTAAATTGTGAATTATCTGTAAGACATACATTACAGTTACATAGATACATATCAATACAGCACATTTAATCTGCCCAAAATGATTACAAAGCCAGTATGGATGCTGTGAGATACGTATACATATACGTATACATATCTCACAATGATTATAGCATTCATAATTGCACTAGGCCTACTATTTTAAAATTACAAGATTTCAAGATTAGGGAACAAAAGCAATCCAAGTTTTCATCAATTCTAATAGAACGAATTAAGGATCAATGAAATCTTATTAGTAATATGGTGTAGATTATCCATGAAGCCTTATTTTAAGAATGTTATACTGGGAATCTGGCCCTTGTGCCAGTAATACTAAAGCTTGGCAGATTGCTCCTACACTTGAGGTTTAGTCGTAATTTATCGCATTCATTGTGTCCTCTGTTGCCCCAAAGTATAATGCAGATAATTTATTTTAAACCTAGAACTGCAAAAATTACCTTTTAGAAAAATTAGTTGAATTTCATATCTGACTTTTCTACCTCGTGTACAATTTTCCAAACTGACAATTTTTATTTACAGAGTTGTTTTACACAAAACTTTAAAAATCTTATTTCAGTCCAAAATAAAGAGAGAGAAGAGGAGAGAGGCAGAGTGAGAAAATCCACCAAAACAGGCATAGTGGGTTCCCCCCCTTCTATTATTAAAATTGATATATTTACTCAAAAACCATTCTTCTGAATCCACTGGACTTGTTCTCAAACAATTATATATAGGTTTAACCTTCCATTTTGTCATTTCACACACAAATATAACTTTATATGTACTCTCTCTCTCTCTCTTTTAGCTATTTTGTTTTTTCCCATTAAAAGTGCCTTAATAAAGAAGGAAAATAAGAACAGTGTCCAATCTTATAGCACTTTAGATACAGTATTAAAACTGTTTTTCAATTAGGCCATATGCATATGTATGTAGCACCATTTTTTTTACTCATAATGTTATGGGGGGAAGCTTGGCATTGAGAAATGGAATGCTTTTCAGTACAAAGAGGAAACAAAAAAGCTAAAATCTCATTGCTTTAATATTTGGCAGTTGTCTGGAAGAGATTCCCAATCAGTTAATTTGGTATCTTAAATCACCATCTTATATTTTGTAATCACTATGTTTATAAGAAGAAAAGAGCCAAATCTGGCCAATAAGTTTCTGCATAATTTTTAAAAATCTGAAATTGGGATGAGAAATCTAGATAGTCTGCTTAATTTAAAAACTAATCAAAACAGAGGTTTTAGGGTATAATATCTCCTTGGTATATATTTGGCATCTTGATTAAGAAGCAAAAAAAGGGGGAAGGAGGAGGGTTCCCCCCAAAAAAAAATTGGTTTTGGAAGAGAGTAAATGGCAAGTTCAGATCAAAGCTAATCTGCTTCAAAAATGCCCTTTCTCAGTAATTTGTTGCTGTGTTCTATGTAGTTTGTTGATTTTTCTATGGTACTGTTATGGATAAAAATCTATAACACTGCTATTAATATTCCCAAAGAACAACATTCCTTCAGTGCAAAGTTGATACTGAAAGGTAGGTATACTTTACATCTGCCAAAAATTAAATAAAATCAGAACATCAATAGATCTGATCCTTCACAAAAGTAGTTTCTGATGGCTTAAATTCTAGTGACAGGTTCCCCCCCCCTCCCCACCAATCTAAGAAGGATACCTGAAAATTAAATTTGTGGGGATAGGTATTGTACCTGAAAAAAATAAATCAAGACAGACACAGGCAGACACAAGAGGAGGGGGAGCCCAACTTGATTTTGCTTCAATCACAACAACAACAAAAAATCAACCCAAACCCCTATCGTTTTGTGAGTGCACAACTGAGAATTTAGAACACATTAAGTCACAAAATTTTGACTTAAAAAAAGAGGAAATGAGCTGTGAATGTAGTTCAGCATCTTTTGTTTCTTTTCCTCTGTAAAGTTTAAATAAAATTGTAATATTTAACTACAAACTCTGCAAATATTAACAGAGTCCAGGCCAGCAATAAATTAGTATTACGCAGATCATTTTCACAGATAATACAGTCCCTCTTCAATATCTTCAATTGCCCGAAGTGGGTGGATAGAGATCTAAGAGGCACAGTTAGACCAAGTTGTACTCCTTCAGGTTTAACTGTAAGATAGTGTCCTTGACAGCAGCAAAGACGAAGCGGATATTCTCTGTGTCTGTGGCACACGTGAAATGGGAGTAGATAATTTTTTCACTCTCAGGATTCAGGTCAACAAACATCTTCAAGATAAATTCTCTTGCTGCCTGTGCATCTCGCTGAGGTCCTGTTACACCAGAAAAGAAGTAGATTGAATTTTATCTTTAGAAAAATACAGGTAGCCCTTGACTTACAACTATTGGTTTTGGGACCATTTGAAGTCACGATGGTACTTAAAAAAAGTGACTTATGTCCATTTTTCAACTTATGACACTGTAGCGTCCCCATGGTTGTGATCAAAATTTGAATGCTTGGCAATTGGCATATATTTAAGACAGTTGCATTGACCCTGGGGGGTGATGATCATGTGATCACCTTTTGCAACATTCTGACAAGCAATGTCAATGGGGAAGCCAGGTTCACTTAATGGCTGCAATGATTCACTCAACAATTGTGGCAAGAATGGTTATAAAATGAGGCAAATCTCACTTTATAACTGTCTTGCTTAGTAACAGAATTTTTGGGCTCAATGTGTTCATGAGTCAAAGACTTACCTGTAAATGGCTATTATTACACTGTGGTGATATCTAAGCAAGAAATGAGGACTGAATATTGAAGGATGGAAGAGAAGTTGTGGATACATCCCAACATTTTAATCAACAATCATGGTAACTTGGAGAATTGACATTTAATCTTTTAAACTAAAGATGGTTAAAAACAAGCCAAAGGCAAGAATTTCGTAGTACATTAGGATGGGAGTACTGTACTACTATACTTTAAACCAGGGGTATCAAACTCAAGGCCCAGGGGCCGTATCTGACCTGCAGGGTGCTTAGATCTGGCCTGCGGGGCTGCCCTAGAAACAGTGAAGGACTGGCCCGTGGTGCCTCTGCCAGCAAAAACCATTTTCGCTGGCAGAGAGTTGCAGGAGGCTGTCGCAGCTGAAAATGGAGTTCGGGAGCCCGTTTTCGCTGGCAGAGTGCTTGGGCCACCACAGCACACACACCCCGGACACATGTGACATTGAGCTGGCCACTCCCACCCTGGCCACGCTACCCCCCAGGTCAAACACAATACTGATGCGGCTTTCAATGAAATCAAGTTTGTCACCTCTGCTTTAAACAAATAAAAAAAGTATAGAGGGAGAAATAATTGAGAAAAAAGATAGGGCCTCATTTTAAAACAAGATTAGAGTGACTATCACTGGGAGATGGAAGAGTACACCAGGCAATATAGCCATTGGGAAAGAAACATGTCAGCTTTCAAGGGTAGAGAGAAAAGTGCAGGGGGGAAAAACCCTTCTCTTTGCTTCCATTATTGGAACATATTTCAACAGGTGCATTCTCTCTCTCTCTCTCCTTCTCAATAAGTAGAGGGACAAGGCATAGAAAGTATAATTATCAATTTAACAAACCACATCATCCTTTTAGTAAGACATGCAAGTCTCCCTGCATTGCATGTGAATTTGACTTATCCTATTCTGTTCATCCCATGAGATTAGGAAGAATGACATATATGGTAAACTCCATCACTCTAATTATGTACACATGCACAACCAGATACTTTAATAAGCAAAACATCTTCCAGTCATATGGATAGAATTTCCTCCACCTCAAATCTTATTCAGATGAACTGAAGACACAAACCATGGTATGTTCAAGGCCTGTTTTTCTGGTTAACAAATAACAACTGATAATCTGAACATATAGTTAAGAATGCATCATTTAATTAGAAGTTTGGGAATGGTGGCCACAATATTACAGAAGTACGGAAGGCAAGCTTGTTCTCACCTATCAACTGTATAATGTTGTCTTGTATAGTGCTGTTACAGTATTTGCACACAATGTTTTATGAAAAAAACCCACAAACTTACCATCATACTCCGGGAAATAGTCAACTAGATGTGAATACATTATTTTCTCCTCTAAAAGGTCTTTCTTATTTAAGAATAGAATGACTGAAGAATTCTGGAACCAGGGATATGTGATAATTGTCCTAAATAGTGCTTTGCTTTCCTCCATTCGATTCTGGAAGAGCAAAAAATAGTCAAGAAACATTAACATACCTATAGTGATTATTTCAAAGGCACAATCTGTTCATATGTTTTGTTTTTCTTGGATAGATGCACAAATCATATAATTAATAGATATTGGCATATGTATAGGCACAAATATATGAATGGATGAATTTGGAGTTCTGTTTAAATTCCAAGGCTCAATTCATCTAATCAATTAGAAAATAACTGGAGATTTGCATTCTTTCTCATATTCTCCTCTAGCACATGGTTTCCACTTTCGGTTTCTTGTTTAGCATTAATTATAGGCTGAAGTGATTTTGAAATAAATTTACTACAGAATATTTTTCCCCCAAGATGAAATTTCCGGGAAGAAATTGTGAACTGAATATAGCTCTGCCAAAAATTGATGACCCCAGCAAAATGAAGACTCGTTAAGAAGACCCGCACTTCATATGTCCTCTTCAAACAAGGAAAGGACCTGAGATCACCACAGATGCTCCATATAGTTGTTCCTCACAAAGAGGCCGCAAGATAACTATCTGATGGGTTTAGAGCACTGGGAGACCAGGGAATAGTCACCTTACTCAAACCACAGTCAGGATCTTTGAAAGGACACTGGACAAATATACTTTCTTTTTAGATCACTTTTGGAAATTGTTTTTTAACCGCTTTTCAGCTATTAGAAACCTTTGGATTGACAAGTTTTACAGCACTGGGAAGGTTTCCTTCAAACCTTAGCAAACTAATTTTTAAATAAAATTTTAGAATTAGTTATAAGAATCCTTCCTACAAGAGAATGCTTTTGTTTTGAATTCTCTTTAAAAAAACGTGACAGGATGAAACTTTGAAGGGGGACGCTTGAAGGAACCAGAAGGAACTAAAGATTACAATTAAAGGAGAGGAACACTTAATGTGATTTACAGTACTAATGTGGAATGAAGCATAACATTAGACATATTGAAGGATATTTTTTAACAACTGGCCCAAAAGTTAATTTTAAGACTATCTATGCTGGGTGTGAAAGATATGATCCACACATGAAGGTTCAATTAAATGGATTTATTGCTACTCATGCCTAGACAGAGGACTATTCTCAACTAATGGTTAGCACCTGGTAGGAGTTAGATAAGGGTCAACAGAATTCAAGGGGATTTGACTTAGTTTACTTATGGCTATGTAGATTCTAGGCTGATCCCTCTTTTAACTTTACCTCCAATGTTTGCCATTCCTTCCTCTACAGTCCACCTCTATAGATAGATTGTGTTTAAACTATATTAACGGATGTATAAATAAAAAAACAAAACAAGATTGACACAGACCTGAAATTATGAGATTTTAAGGATTTGTTTGAAGATAAGTGATGGAATAAGAAAAGAAGAGATCACCCCAATAAATACTAAGTGCCCCATGAAGGATGTTCTCTTCTATTTTTGACTGAAGCCTATGGCACCCACTTTGCACGAAGAAATATCCTATTTTTATAAACACTGTATCATTGCAGTAAGGAATTATTGCAGTTAGACAGCTGTAGGTTTTATTATATGATTTGGCTATAATTTAATCAGTAAATCTGATTGGTAAGTTTGCATTCTTCAAAGATACCAAACCATTTTAATTGTATTGTTTTTGCACAGAAAGGCTCTAATAGCATAAATGGAAGAATAAAAATTAGTAAATGGTTTTTAAAAGAATAAAGATGTGCGCACATATACACATAAATATATTTTACGCCTTAGTCTGTTCCTTAGTCTTTGCTTCTAGATAGGCCTTTTAATATGTGTTGGCAGTAGTTCATTACAGTAATTTCATAATGCACCTAAACGTCTCTATCATCTATTAGTCATTAGACTATCTGTTTTTTCTCTTGATCAGGATTACCCATTTAATTAGTAATACCAAGAACAGAAGGACAATTCTTTGTATACAAGACTGTTCTTTAGTTCTCTGCTTTCATAAATTTTGGATAGAAGTTGCTTTGATGCTATGCCCTGTTCATTTTTTCAGACACAGCAGCTTTTGTGAACATATGCTTTGCTGGTCTATATACTTGCACACATACCTCCTAAAAAGAGTTATCCAAAATTCCTGGATTTCAAGCTACTCCAAATTCACATTTTTAAATACTCTGTGTCTTCTCTATACATTACTAAGTTTTCATCTTTACAAAATAAAACTGTAGGTATGGGACTTATGAATAATGGACAGCTTATCTGCAAATATCAATACTTGGTTTAGAATACTTTATTATACAGTGGAATTCCCCAAATTAAGATATTTAATCTTTGCCGATCAGCAAATTATGACTCCTATGTTTTTCATTCTAAGCTAAAATCAAACACAGACTACTGTTTGTTCTCCTTATAGTTATAGTTAGACAATGTAAAACTTTATTTTATGCTGAACCACATAAGTATAGCAATCTTATGTACTGCCATTATGTTAAAAAATATGAACACTAATTCTAAGGAGGTGGGACAATTGCAGAGATAACCAGTTTTCAAAAGGTAGTTCAACCTATCCTAATGGTATATTTTTTGAGACAGTTTCTATACTCATTAGTTTGCCTTAGTTGACTTGAGGTATCCTCAGTACCAGTTTCATGTAGGTAACAATTTATTTAATTGTTAACAGGAATACTGAAATTCCATTAGGCAGATTAAGCAAAATATGTTTAAGTATATTCTAAGGCAGGGGTCTCCAATCCCGTCCATGGATTGGCACTGGGCCACAGCATGATAGAAACTGGGCCACGCAAACAAGCGAAGCCCCATCCGTGGGATGCAGGCAGCATGCAAAACCATGGCCCTTCTGGTCCACAGAAAAACCTCTCTCCACAGAACCGGTTCCTGGTGCCCCAAAGGTTGGGGCCCGCTGTTCTAAGGCATACACCAAGTACCCAAAATGTCTGGAACACTGTAGCAGTTCATGTATGGAGGATTTTTCCAGAGCTGAATCCAGGGGTGAAATATAAAATTTCTTACTACTGGTTCTGTGGGTGTGGCTTGGTGGGGGGGGTGTAATGTGACTGGGTGGGCGTGGTCAACTTTTTTTTTTAAACTTTTCAAAGCATTTTTTCTAATGCTTTGAAAAGCCTCTGCCGATCAGGCAACTCAGCTGGGATCGTCAGAGACTTTTCAAAGCTTTTTTTTTTTACCATTTCTTCGGCAGAAAAAAATGCTTTGAAAAGCCTCTGACGATCCCAGCTGAGCTGCGTGATCATCAGAGATTTTTTTTTAACTTTTAAAAGCATTTTTTCGTCGGAAGAGGTTGTAGAAAAAATGCTTTTAAAAGTTTTTTAAAAAAGCCTCTGATGATTGTGCAGCTCAGCTGGGCATGGTGGTGGTGGGGGGTGCAGGGGTTTTTGTTACTGGCTCTCCGAACCACCCGCTGCCATCGCTACCAGATCGGACGATCCGGTCCGAACCGGGAGCATTTCACCCCGGTTGAATCAAAACTTTACTACTACTTTAATGGCAAGGCCAAGTTTAATCCTTATGATCCTAACACTTGCAGCTTTTTTGATAATTAGTAGAAAACTCTGCTATAGAAACATTTTGGGATTCATTAACCAACAATTTTGATACAATATGGCATTTAGGATTAAGTAGTGCACATGTGTAATGTAGTTAATGGAAAGGTCATAGTAAATTATCGATTTATTATTATGATCACTGGAAAAGCTTTTATAACAAGATTGGTGTTAGGAAGGCAAATGTTGTTTCAGCCCTCGGACAGCTAATGAATAGATCTCTGATTGTAAATAAATAAAGCTTAAGTAAGGCCAAGAATAGTTCAAAGTGAACTGACTTTTTGTACAGTTGACTAATCAATAAACTGATGACCAAATGTAGGCAGGATTAGATGCTCATTCTTTGTCTTTATTGTGGTATGTTTGATTGCTTAATTATATGCCATCAAATCATTGTTGACTCTTATTCTGCACATTAAAATAGCAGCAATAATTAAATACATGTATTTTGAGGCTTCAAAGTTATAACTTTATTTTACCAATTTATGATCATCAATAAACATTTTGATTATAACCTGAGCCCTTTATCAATTATCATAATGCATGGCAGACTACTTGATTTTTAAAAAAATTAGTGAAATAAGGTTTAAATAGGATCTTAGACATTTAAATAATTTTCAAATCCTACATATTGGCATTGTTCACAAAAAAATAAGTACATCAACTGTGTAATAATCCTGTTTCCAAAGATTTTCTTTTCTTCTTAAAGAAGATCACAATACGCAAACTGTTATATTTTATTTTTGATCCTCTAAAAATATTAGGAAGATTTATGGGTGTCTTGTTTGAATGTTGAAATGTTTTGTGGATTTCTCTGGAACATTTGTCTTCGTATTGGGAGCTAAATGCGTATCTTTATGTTTGGGAGCCTGTCAAAATGTCTGATGATGTCTACCATATGGCAGATACTGCCTCATTGACTTGGTCACAAAATATTCCAATTCTTTTCTATTTGGAACACTATTCAAGGCACATTGCTGATAACTCTACCCTGAAAATGCAAGCTCTAGTACGAAAAGTCAAAAAGCAGAGTGAGAAAAGAAGGAACTAAAATTAAACATAAAGGAGACTACACTAATGACAATAGGTAGAACAAGCAGCTTTAGAATAGACAATGAAGACATCAAAATGGTGGCTAGCTTCTTCATTTTAGGATCTACTGATAAAGGAACAAGTGGTCAAGAAATACGCTGCAGACCAGCTCTTGATAGACCAGCCATGAAAGTCTTGAAAACTGTATTCAAATACCATGATGTATCTATATCTACCAAGATCAGAATCATACAAACCATGGTATACTCTGTGACACTCAATGGAACCAAAATATGAACTTTTAAGAAGCAGGATAGGAAGAATGTTGACGTTTTTAAACTTTTGTGCTGGAGAAGACTCCTGGGCAGGGAACAAAACAAACCGAAGAATCATCAAACAAATTAACTCTTCAAGGCACAAATGGCCAGGCTCAAATTATCCTATTTTGG